GTTAGATTAGAAAACAGTTCGGAAAAAAAGCCAACTTGCTAAGAGATTGGGGGATAAAGTACTTGCAAGTCTTCCAGGTTTTATTGGAAGTATACTTTCTTTTGTACTAATGTCATATGCCATGGCTGGCTGTGGTAGTCATAGTTGGTTTGTTAATTAATAAATATATGTAACAACTGATTTTTTTAATTTTATCGTATAATATAAAATGGTTATTTAAAAGGAGATAGACGTTCATCTAGATACCCTCTCCGAGGGTCAAAATTCCGACCACAAAGATCAAAAAGATGATCAACAAGAGATTTATTCGAACTTGCATTACGAGAAACTAGCTCAAGTTATTCCAGGAGGTAAAGCTAAACAATATTTAGGTAAAAATTATAGCATAGCTGACCTCGAAAAAATGTCAACAGACCAGATTGAACATTTAGCTGACAATATCGAACAGAATCCCATTATTCAAAGCTGTCTAGACTCTTTAACCTGTCAGATGTTTTACTATTTCGGTGGCTTTCTAGCCCCTATTGAATTGGGTTTGGAGACTGGGAAACATACTGCAGTTGGCTAAGTTAAAACTATTGAAGACCTAAGGTATATTTTTTCATTTTCCAAAATACATTTTTATTCTCACTAAAAAAAATGGCTACAGCTGCAATAATGGTCGGAGGAACTATACTCAATGCGGTTGCCTTCACAGGTACAAATATACTTGGAAGACGACTTGAAGGAGGAGATAGCGAGAGAGCTCGTCACGATAAAACTCTTGAAAAACAGAGTAGCAACAGGGGAAAAATTGATTTGGCTGTAAAAAAATCTCTAGATAATAAAAGAATGGCTCTTCTGTTTAAAACGTTATATGATTATTTCAAGAGCGGTGCTGATATTACCAATCAATATATACAAAGTGGATTTAGGTCCATGAGACAGAGGGTATCCAATTTTTTTAGGACTAATCCTGATATCACGGAAGAACAAGTTTAAGAAGTTATATATGAGGAAAAAAAATAATAAATTAACACATTAACAAAAGGTCTAAGTAAAACAAGGCTAGAGAAAATAAAATTCTTAAGGATTGGAAAAAGAGATAAGAGAAGAGAAAGGCATCTCTTAAACGAATGATGGAAAAATTGGCTGCTGAGCGACGTAGATTAGATACGCAAGATGAGATTATGACTAGAAGACTTAGACGGGGAGAAAGGATAAGTCAGAGTCGAATAAAGAAGGAATTGGAAGATAGCGTTGTTACAGAGGGGCCTTCAATGGATTTGTACAAGATGTTAAAATTCGCGGGCGGTCTAGGGTTGATGTTTCTACCTATCTGGATATACAAAAGAGTTATATGTTTTAGACATCTTTGAGAAAAACAAAAATACAAAATTTTAAATCTTCCTCGATGTAATGCTAGAACGGGTTGTCGATTTAAAAACTTTTACTGTAGAAACATCATTATCAGCCTTCCATTCTAGGTTTCACGAAATTTACAAAGGAACCGATCTTAAAAATGTATAGTGAAAGGTGCGAGCGAATAAAAGAAAATTTCGCTAATCGTCAGCAACAACATTCCGGTTGGATATTTAAAAAGGTGTAAAACATAATCCGTTGGGAGGGTCATCGTACATTAAACTTCCTAAACAATTGGCTAATAAAAATGCTATTATAACTATGAAAAATGAAAATGATAACGATTGTATCAGGTAGAGCTTAACGAGACATTTTAATCCTACAAATAACCATCCTGAACGAATTACTGATGAATTACGAAAACAAGCGGAAGTTTTTAACTGGGACGGAATCGATTTTCCAACCCCTTTAATCAGATTAAACGATTTGTAAAGAATAACCTTGGAATTTATATTAATGTATATGGATATGAATACAAGTTTGAGGATGAAAAAATGGAGTTATACTAGTCTCTTTAAGGATCCCAGACAATTCTAACAATAAAAAAAGTCGTTGATTTGTTACTGATAAATGAAGAGGATAATAAACATTATTGTTTAGTTAAAAACTTTTCACGATTGACAACCATAAACCGGTATTAACCCTTCCACCGAAAGATAATATCTTAAATTTCAAAACTTTTACAAGATGTCCAGTCACCCTCTTAATATAGTTGCCAATTGTGAAGCTTTCACCATACCTATACCTTGCGATGAAACTGGGGTTAAAGATAAGTCCTTTACAAAAAAGTTTCAAAAACATAAACCATCGGATTCTGTTTATATCCAATAGTTGCTAAGGGGATAGAGTTTGATTGCAGACATATTGTAATAACAGCCGAATCGGAAGATGATGACGTTTACCATAAATGTATAGAAGCATGCAATGATGATGTTAGGAGATTCTACGAAAAATACAAGTCTCCTGAAAAGAGGGTAATGACTAAGGAAGATATAGAAAGATATGAGAATTCCAATATATGTTGGTTGTGTGCTGGAAAATTTTATGATCCGGAAGATATTAAGTTCCGAGATCACAACCATTATACAGGTGATATTAGAGGTGCTGCGCATAACTCGTGTAACATTAAAAACCAAAGTTTACTCCTATATACTTTCACAATCTATCCGGTTACGACATCCATCATTTTATTACGGATCTAGCTAATCGTGAAGGTGATCTTAAAATCATCCCTCAAAATAAAGAAAAATACATTTTGGTTTCTTCAAGGTATGTAATTGATAATTTTAAAGATAAAAAAGGTAAGGAAAAGGAATTTAAACACGAAATTAGAGTTATAGATACACTTAGACTCATGCAGACATCTCTAGACAAACTAGTTGAAAATTTAGTCAAGTGCGGAAAGTGTGATACTTGTGATCCAACTAAATGTTTAGGAATGAGTATAGGTAAAAATAGGAAAATTATCTCTCACGATATCACTCCTTGCGGAAAATGCAGAAACTGCGAGTGGAAGGATAAACCATGTCAATCACAGATGAAAGGTTGATTGAGACCAAAAAGCATTTTAAGTACGAGGATATGGAATTGATGACTACGACTATATGATAGGCTTTGAAAAATTTAAAGATACCAACTTCCTCCTAAAGAAGCTTTCTATTCTAAATTAAACAAAAAAATATATATCGGATGAAGACTACAAACACGCTTGTAAAATATGGGATAAAAATCATAAAGGAGTATCACGATCTATATCTCAAGTTGGACGTCTTGCTATTAACGGATGTCGGGAATAGCTTTAAGGAGCTCTTTAAACAAATATACGAACTGGATTCCTCCTACCACTATACAGCTCCGGGATTAGCTTGGGATGCTTGTTTAAAATTGACTATGATTGAATTGGAATTATTAAGCGATCCGGAAATGTACTTAATAATAGAGCAGGGTATCCGAGAAGGTATATCAACTATACTTAAGAGGTATGCAGAGGGAATTAATCATTACTTGAGAGATAACTTTAATTCAAAGAAAACTGTCAAGTACCTGATGTACCTAGATGCAAACAACCTGTACGGACTAGCTATTAGTTAACCTCTACCAACTCGAGACTTTAAGTGGGTGATCGAAGAAGATTTTATAAATTGGCAAAAGTATCCCTGTACGTAAGTACGTCATTCATCATGAAACCTTAAAACTTTATTTGAGTCTGGGATTGAAACTTAAAAAATACATTGGGTTAAAAGTTTTAAAGAATCTCCCTGGGGGAAGGAATAAATAGATCTTCATACCAAAATGAGATCTCAAGCAAAAAATAAGTTTGAAAAAGATTTTTTTAGGCTAATGAATCGAACAATCTGCAAAAGAAACATACACAAAAACAAAACTTTGATCACATTACTAAGTTTAACGAAAACCTCGTAGCGATTCATATGAAAAAGACTAATTTAATATTCGATAAACCTATATATCTAGGGTTCTCTATATTAGACCTGAGTAAAAATCATATGTACGACTTTCACTACAACTATATTAAACCTAAATATGGAGATAAAGCAAAATTGTTATTTACGGATACAGATTCCTTAATATACGAAATTGAGACTAAGGATTTCTACAAAGATATATCGGGTGATGTCGAGAATAAATTCGATACGTCAAATTATAAAGGTCATCAGTCGGGGATACCTACAGGTGTAAATAAAAAGGTTCTAGGAATGTTTAAGGATGAAGCTTGTTTGAAGATTATAAAGATTGTCTTCAAGACTATATTAATAGTAGAGGTAAACATGCTCCCACCTATAGAAAAATGAATGTTATCAGGTCTCATATACATTAATTTTATACCGAGACGGTTAACAAAAACCGAAAGGTCCACTGATTAATCTCAGATAAGAAAGTATAATACATACTCCAACATATCTTTTAGATTTAACGAAAAGGATCCCCTTCCTGCTGATCGTGTTGAAAGACGTAAAATATTAAAAGCTATGTTAAGAGGTGTTATTAAGGGGAAAAGTCATACACCCCATATACAAAAAACTGGAAAACATCCGTTAGGTAAGGACCAAACAATTGAAAAATATTAACCGATTATATTATAATATATCTATATATCAAATCTATACAGGTATATGATATCCTTAGATGCAAATCGATCGTCAAACTTGGGTATAGGGGCGAAAGCCTAATCAAACCATCTAGTAACTGGTCCCCTCTAAGGTTTCCCTCAGGATAGCTGGCGCTAAAACGCAGTTTTATCTGGTAAAGCGAATGGTTAGATGCCTTGGGGCCAAAACGACCTCAACCTATTCTCAACTTTAAATTGGTAAGAAGTCCAACTCTCGGCCACTTTTGGTAAGCAGAATTGGCGCTGCGGGATGAACCGAACGCCCGGTTACGACGCCCGATGGGGATGCTCATCAGATCCCAGAAAAGGTATTGGTTGATACAGACAGCAGGACGATGGCCATGGAATTTGGAATCAGCTAAGGAGTGTGTAACAACTCACCTGCCGAATCAACTAGCCCTGAAAATGGATGGCGCTGAGCGTGCCGCTTATACCCGGCCGTCGGGGCAGATGAGGTCACCCCGCCAGGGAGGTAAGCCCCGACGAGTAAGAGGGTCGCTGCGGTGAGCGTTGAAGCGTAGGGCGCGAGCCCGCGTGGAGCCGCCGTGGGTGCAGATCTTGGTGGTAGTAGCAAATATTCAAGTGAGAGCCTTGAGGGCCGAGTGTGGAGAAGGATTCCATGTGAACAGCCGTTGCACATAGGTCAGTTTATCCTAAGCTATAGGGTAGTTTCGTTCAGAGCGGTGGCGTAGGCCTCTCGTGGGTCGCTCCCCTTATGCGAAAGGCAATCGGGTCAATATTCCCGAACCCGAAGGCGGAAGTCGCTGCCTCGCGCAGCCAGTGCTGCAAAACAAACAAACTCGGAGACGCTGGCGGGAGCCCCGGGAAAAGTTGTCTTTCCTGGAATCGGTTCGCGCGCAGATAGGGGCTGCTGGCCCATAAAGCACCGTGGCTCTTGCGGTGTCCGGTGCGCTTCCGCCGGCCCTTGAAAATCCGAGGGACACCGACTGATTTTCGCCTCGGCTCGTACTCATAACCGCAGCCGGTCTCCAAGGTAAATAGCCTCTGGCCGATAGAACAATGTAGGTAAGGGATGTTGGCAAATTAGATCCGTAACTTCGGGAAAAGGATTGGCTCTAAGGGCTGGGTCGGTCGGGCCGGGGAGTGAAGCGGGACCGGGCGCGTGCCGTGACTGAGCGAGGCCTGTTGTGCCGGGCCCATTCCGTGGACCTTCTTGGGTTGGCGGTCTCTCGGGATCGCTTCTGCCGCCGCCCAACAGCCACCTTAGAATTGGTACGGACACTGGGAATCCGACTGTCTAATTAAAACAAAGCATTGCGACGTCCGAAACCATGGCACTGACGCAATTTGATTTCTGCCCAGTGCTTGAATGTCAAAGTGAAGAAAGCGCGGGTAAACGGAGGAAGTAACTATGACTCTCTTAATTGTGCGGACAAATCTGTAATACTCACGACACCACAACGCACCCCCGAGACCATGAGTTCTCGATAAATTACTCATGTACGAAATGCCACGGAAAATATTAATTCATCCGATCGATCTCTTGTCATTTGTTAAAGTGCAACGGCATAATTGCAGCCGTTTTGAACGAATTTAAATGCAACTCCTGCATAAAGTCTTTTTTCCACTTTTTCCGGATTAGGACTCCATATTGAAAGACACATATGTCAGAGTTCATGTTAACTGAACAAGTTAACTCGTGTCACGATCGGTCGTTCGTAAATGGCTCTCAGTTTTAACGTTATTATTTCCCGATTTTAATTGTTTTTTTTTTAACCAAAATCTGATCCTACTGTCTTGAGATTAAAGTTGGAGACCCTGATTATTGATATATTTTGCTATTTTAGAAGTTTTATACATGATTGTGGATCGTTTTTGTAAAGGATCTGCCAGGCCTGAAACCATTTAAAACCATTGTACTTTTACTGGACTTGAAAGGCTCCAAGCCCTGCACCACCTGGATTCTTTCCGAAGCCTAGCCCGCCACCCGGAGTTACGATTTACTGTCGTGGGCTGGAGCTTGGAGTTTCAATCTGTTTGCCGGTTGGTACCACCAGTACGGAAATATCGATCTAAGCTTTGAAAGCTCCTGTTAGACTGCCTCGATCAAGCATATTTCTTAAGATAATGCCTGCTTTTCTGCTAATACTAATATTTACGCTGTTGTTGTTTTTCCGGAGGCCAACTTCCAACGTTTACCCGGATGACAGCGTGATGTGTCACCACAAGCCATCCTCGAAAGCAACAGTCTACGTTACGGGATCACGGTGCTTCTCTGGTCGGTCAGTCAGTTACTACTCAAATTATTCATGCTGTGCATCGTTCCAACCAAAACTGACTAAATTTGGAGATGTCGAAATAAACCCTGGCCCACCACTACAAACAAACTCGAAGGTCTGTGGACAAAAAGGCAAACAGACTGGTAAGCAACATATCTCTATGTTTTACCAGAACATTAGAAGTCTAAAAAACAAAATGGATATTTTGCACTCAAGTATGCAGACATATATGTTAAACAATTTCTACGATGTAGTATCCTTCTCGGAGACTTGGTTGAAGGACCTTGTTCTTGATTCAGAAATTGCGGTCCCCGACTACAAACAATATAGACGTGATAGGCAGGACGGCAGACGTGGAGGAGGCGTTCTTATGTATATCTCAAACCGATTGAATAGTCGTAGACTATTTCATCTGGAAGATGATATTAACGAAATAATATGGGTTGAAGTGATTATAGAGAAGTAGTAACTGTACCTTAAAATCATTACAGTTATGATTTACCATAGCCCGTTAATGTTTGAATGTAGTTTAATTTACTTTTGTATTACAAACATAGGAAACGTTCTATGCATTGTGGCTCATGCCTTTTAAATTCCAATGGGCATGGGATAATCCTATTAGTTAAAGATAACCATATTGTACCTGTCATTACTCAAGACAACAATGATTGTATTATAGTTTTACTTTTATCTTTTTTGGTTAAGTTTGCTCCTAAGGTTACAATATTGCCAGTAGACCTATGTTATATCCCGCTGTTTTAATTATTTGCTATCACAGATATTGATAGTACTGTAGAGAGAGATACTCTACATTTAACTGTTTAGGCATACAGTATAGTATTTTGTTACCTCTCTATTTTAGCCTGGATATTTGCCTTAATTGGCGCAGACAAATGGTAAAGAACTTATGAGGGAAAGGCTATCTCTGATCAGTCCAGAAGTGGGTGCTCATAGATACGGTAACAGCCGCACGTATTGTCTACTACGACCTACGATAAACAGACTCATCGTTGGAAGCGAGTCCTCGATGCATCAGAGCGAAACCCAAATAAAACCAAGTAGGCCTACTGTAGTAAACCATTGGCGCCTTAATTAATGTTTTATGTTTTACCTATATTGTTATGTTTGAATTATCAATTTAATTTTTTGGTTATTGAATTAAATAAACTTCATCTTAATTATTAATTATCTGTTTAATGTGTTATCCGTCATATTTATTTGTTAAGAATAAATATATTATTCAGAGACGAAACCTGGGTTACACTTGTGTCGAATTTTTATTTTCATGTTCCTGTGCGCAGGCTTCGATCCAATAATTTGTTAAAAGTTCCGTACTCTCGTTTTAATGTTTGTACTAATGGTATTTTTCGTCGTGTTGCACTTTCTTATAATAATCTAGTTCAAATTTTTCCTAATATTGATATTTTTAATTGTAATATTTCTATTTTTAATCTTATACTAAATACCGGTTTTTAATATATTATTTTTTTCATGCTTTTTACGTTTAAAAAAAAAAAAAAAAAAAAATTATATATTTTAATAAATGATATTGTATATTTTTATGGCGACTCTGTTATTGGTGTTTTTGATACACTGTTGAGTCTTGAATAAATAAATAAAAATAAATAAATTTTCAAGATGAATCTAAGAAAAGAAATACCTGGCCTTCGGAAGATATTATGATTATGGAAAAAATCGAGGCTTCTCTACCTCCGAAAACATAATTCGTTAACAAGGCCAAAAGAGACCATGCCTAACCGAAGCATAGAATCTATAAAATATCAAAGAAGAAAACACTCATATAAAGAATCCTTTATTGCTTTCAAAGCAGAGGATATCCGGGCTACCGATACCTCTGTCGATAATGATATTATTGTACACGATCTGGATGATGTTGGAATGATCCAATACCTAAATGAGCACACCCACTCAATCAAAACGGGAAATACATCATAGTTACAATTACATACACTTGAAATAATCGCCTGCGTAAAGGACAAGAATATTCCAGACTATACCAATATTCTGAAAACATTGGAGGAAAGGAAACCCGAAATATGACTTGCATATCGAAAAACAACCCTGTTATCAAAAACCTGTCCAAAAGGAAACGGAAGAAAATTTTATATTCTATTCAACAGGAACTTTATCGTAAAAATAAACGGACCTTGGCTCGTAACTTGTTAGACGGAACAACCCTTTCACACACTACACTAAAGTGTTTAGTAAAGAACCTCTCGAAGATAACATGCTGATACCTAAGAAAATGTACGGTAATGATAAGGATACACAAAACCTATCTCCACCAATAACCATACAAGTAGTTACTACGGCTTTAAAATCCATGAAAAGGGACGGGTCGGCAGGTCCTGACCGAATTTTTTACAAGGATTATTCCCGTATCCCATTTTATGATTTGGCTACACTTTTCCCCATATGGCTAATGAAGAGTAGAATCCCGGATGCTCTCCGAACCAACTATACTAATATACTGCCTAAATGAGAACCTGCCAAGGATGATCCTTCAAAATGGCGCCCTATCACTATAGGGTCATATCTACTCAGGCTATATACTAAGATCCTACACTTCCTATGAAAGACGCTACCATTATCCATAACAGACAGAAAGCATTCATCCCTACTGATAGATGCTTAGAGAACACCACACTGCTGGAATAATTAACTATAGAAATAACAATCGCTCACACTACATAATGTCCCTTAACCTTGCAAAAGCATTTGATTCGATTCATCATGATACTATCGTCCATGCTTTAAGGAGACACAACGTGCCAAATCACTTCAGAATTGTGGTCAAAGACCTCTATACTAGGAATTCGACACGGCTCAGATTATCCAACTTTCTATCAGACCCCATTCCGATGAGATCTGGCGTGAAGCAGGGATGCCCTCTCAGTCCACTCCTTTTTAATCTTATCCTGGACGAACTACTTGATAGTCTACCGTCACATATCGGTATGAACTGCTTTAATTATAAGCACAGCGCCTTCGCATTTGCTAAAGATCTCATTCTCCTCACCGAGAGTAAAGAAGGTTTAGCAAAGCTCATACAATGCTGCAAAGAATTTTTCAATGACAGACACATGTCAATAAATGCGAACAAATCGGCGTCTTAGGCTCCACCGTAACATACCGTATCGGAATCGAAATATCACGAAACTATTAACAGTAACTACGTCTACATGGAAGGTGAATGATCAGACTAATGCCGGTATTTCCCCCTGGCGAGACCACAAATTATCTTGGGCAAAAGTTCGGGTATACCGGAAAGGCCAACCAGAGGTGACAAAACTAGGGGGTGCTACGTTATGGAGGGTAATGTGTGACCGAAAATGGTCTGCAGTCAGTTGGTTGTTACCATGCGCCAGTGATGTTGGAATACGTCAGCAAGATGAAACTATTTATGTAATGCATGAATAAAGTTCGGGGTTTGTCGGGTAGTGAAATGATTATTGTGCATTTTAAGTGCTCCATCCATGCATAAGTGTAAGCTAAATTATGGTGATTAATTAGCGAAGATATGGAGACAATATTTTGAAGTTTCCTCTTTCTAGGAGGGGATCCAAATGCTTTGTGAAAATGAGTACGCGGTACACATTTTAACAAAGGAATACACACAAGGTTAGCTAACAATATGCAAATGCTACATGAACACCTGGGAAGGAATGTGCAATCACGTTCTGTTGCCTAGCAAACGTCTGTATTGTATTAGGCCTAGGCCTAAGTAGACAGTGATAGAAAAGTACAGTATATGTGATAAAAAGTACACTTTCGAAAAAAATAAATTAAAATAAGAAAAAAAAACTAAGAAAAAATTAAGTTGCAGCAGGGGCCAGCTAACAATGCGTCTCTTGTAGCCCTAGCTAGGCAAGGCATCCATGTGCAAACAGTGGTGTTTGTTTATCAACGAAAAAGCACGCCGGGAAAGTTTGCCTTACCAGCAAAAGGTGACGTAATCTAGCTTATGACGTATGCATGCTAACTATATTGTGAGTGTGACGTCACCAAAAAATAGACATTTTCTATTATAACTAAAATATTAATAACTACAAGGTTTGTGGGCGTAAATTAGCTTAATAATAAATAAGAGTAGCACCAACTCCTTGCCATACAAATTACAGATCCCACTGACGTCTCAGTCGAGAAATACGGGTAGCTGAAGTTTTTGTCGCAAATCGGAGTACGAAATCATATCAAAATTTCACGTGGCACTCCTGGCTCTAAATAGCATTAAGACTACACAACGATGTTAAATGGTGTAAAAGAGGCTTTTCTCAAGCCCCATCAAAAAATCGACATCATCCGCCAATTCGTCTTGCCGAGATTATACCACAATTTTGGTAACCACACCTATGTTTTTTTAATAGACTGTCATGTTGCATAAAAAAATGTGTTCGGAAGATTCTGCACCTCCCAGACACTTGCAGCAAGAACGTTCTCACATTACCGACTACACTTGGAGGAATCGGACTGCCTGATATTAACTTAACCGCAAACAAATTATGACTTTATGAGACTTGCAAAATCAAGTGACCCTGTCATTAAGGCTATGTATGCCTCCGATTATAATACAGAAACAACTATGTAAAGTTGCAAATGCAATCAATCTACAAACCATAGAAGCAGATAAAACTGCTGTTCAAGCACATATTTCTGAAGTCCTCACAGAGAAGCAGCAAGCCTTCGCTATAACCAAACATGGCTAAGGTTGTAAAGCATTCGATCACCCAGCATCTACTGCCTGGATCACTAAGCCTAAAATTCTCAAGGGAAGCTATTACACTAAAGCTATAGCATTGAAAGGAAAAACTCTACCATGTAGGGGTACTCTAGCATTCATGGGTTGTGATACCATATGCAGACACTGTAATGGTGCTATTGAATCCATATCTCATATTCTACAAAGGTGTCCGCACATGCGAAATGCCAAAATTGAACGCCATAATAAAGTATGCAAACAGGTCATTAGATTTCTGGAGAAAAAATTCATACATCAACAGGTAACTATCGACAGGATGTAGTGGCTATTGATAAAAGGAAAGGCTCATCGATTTACACTAGCCGACGTTGACCGATTAAAACCTATTAAATACGGTAAAACCGATATCCTGAAATCCATCGCTCGTTATATAATGTATTTTCTGCTTCCGCCGAAAGTTGCATCATTGGTGCGAGCGGTGCCATTCTGCCCACCAAGAGACTATACGGAGGTATTAAGTTGTCCATGAACCAGCTTGGAATATTATCGGAACTAGCCATCAAAGGCTCTATACATACTTTTAATTCATTTATGCGCAGATAATTCGTTTCGCCCGCACGATGCTTTATCAAGGGACCAGTGTCCCACACCAGCTTCAGAAGGCCATGACCTCTGCGAACCCACTACTAGCCGGGCTGTGCCCCTTACACTGTTAAAAGACACGGGGTACTCTGTCTGATAACGGTGGGGCACTCGTCCCTGCTGCTGATCGCTCCTGCGTCAATTATGCCTAGAGGAATCACTGATAAAGTATTTAGACTTTGAATAGCCAAATGCCTCGTCATCTAATTAGTGACGCGCATGAATGGATTCGTTCCGTTCCTTGGCACGTACTGGCCAAGAACATTTATTTCATCTTTTATATAGGGCCTTCGGCCCAAATAAAATATAATTGCTATTTACAGAGGGAAATGATAATTTCTACGTTTAAATGAGTGATAAAGAAATTTACATAAACAACTTACTGTATTGATATCAGTAGTGGACAATAATTGAGTAAACTTAACTTTGGATGGATTAACAATAAAGTACTTAAATATATAGGCCTAATGTTTACGAATATCAGTGAAACAAGGGCAAATTAAAGTAAAATGGTACTCATCTTCAACTAAATTTAATGTACAATGTTAGCATAATCTATCTTTTTATCAATTTTTGTCCATCTACCAGTTTCAATTTCTAATTCAAGGACTCTTAAACGCAACTTAGTGAGAATACGTGTATAATTAAAATTGTGTATATGCATTAGGTATAATTCGATTGTAAAATTATATTTAAATGTCACATAAATAAATAACATAAATGTCATTTTCTGGAATGGAAAATAAATGAATTTGTTTATAAAAATGTTGACGTTCAATATCACTTAGACGAGTAGTTATTTCAGATATAAAAGCAACATTGTTCTCAACATATTGTTTATACCAATTTATACCAAAACCAATTGAACATAATTTCTCCTTAAAGTATAACCAAGATTTATCGTTCGACTGTAATCTTCTTAACTGGAATTTATAACAACTGTAAATACAACTGTTATTATCTGCATTAATTAAACGTAACCAATAACGTAAAGCATTTCTAATACCAGCAACAGAAAGTGAAAATCTCCCGCATTCACACATAACTGTAATAGTTGGAGCTGCGTTGCCTATTCCTAAAATAAATCTGCAAAACCTAGAGTGAAATTTTTCAATAACTGGTATGTCATTAATTCCCCAGATCTCACTGCTATACATTAATATTGGTACTATTTTTACATCAAAAATTTTGTTTAACAAATGTATTGGTATGTTGCCAAATCGGTTATGAATTAATCGTTTTAAAGTAAATAGAGTTTTGTTTGCTTTTGTACAGTTATAACAAATTGACGAGATTCCCCCTGTCCCTGTCTACTATCTAGCGAAACCACAGCCAAGGGAACGGGCTTGGCAGAATTAGCAGGGAAAGAAGACCCTGTTTAGCTTGACTCTAGTATGACCTTGTGAAGAGAGATGAGAAGATAGAACAGGTGGGAGGCCCATGCCGTCAGTGAAATACCACTACTTTAATCGTTTCTTTACTTATCGGGTGATGCGGGAAGCGGGCCCACCGGGTCCACGATTCTAGCGCTAAAGTCGACTCGTCGCGCGACCAGCTCCTGAGACAGAGTCAGACGGGGAGTTTGACTGGGGCGGTACATCTGTCAAAAGGAAACACAGGTGTCCTAAGGCGAGCTCAGCGAGGACGGAAACCTTGCGTAGAGCAAAAGGGCAAAAGCTCGCTTGATTTTGATTTTCAGTATGAATACAGACCGTGAAGGCGTGGCCTATCGATCCATTTGATTTTGTGAGTTTTAGGCAAGAGGTGTCAGAAAAGTTACCACAGGGATAACTGGCTTGTGGCGGCCAAGCGTACATAGCGACGTCACTTTTTGATCCTTCGTTGTCGGCTTTTCCTATCATTGCCAAGCAGAATTGGTCATGTGTTGGATTGTTCACCCACTAATAAGGAAAGTGAGCTGGGTTTAGACCGTCGTGAGACAGGTTAGTTTTACCCTACTGATGAAAGTTCGTGGCTACAGTAATCCTACGAGAGGAACCGCAAATTCAGAGTGTTGGTTCACGTGCTAGGTTGAGAATCTAGTGGTGCGATGTTACCATCTGAGGGATTACGACTGAACGCCTCTAAGTCGGAATCCCGCCTGGTTTGCGACGATACATTCGGTGCCTTGCACGCGGGAGGCCCAAGATATAGAAAGGGGGGGGGGGCAAATGCCCCAAAAACCTGCCCGTGCAGACAAGTTGCACGGTAGCTTGGAGGAATCCATCCTCTGCAAGAAAGGCGCAAAATCACTTGCAGACGACTTGGGTATGGATCGAGGTGTAGTGACTAGCAGAGTAGCCATTTCGCTGCGATCTACTGAAAGTAAACCTTAAATGATCCGCGAGATTTGTCCGCACAAGACGGGCAAATCCGTGGCGCACTCGGTGTGATCAACACTTGTACTACCGATTTGGCGAATCATGGCGACAGAAAAGTTGACGTCAGGCGGACGTTGAGTTTTTGTTATTCTTACCTCTTGTTACCTTAATTATCGTCGAGTCTTAGTAGCCAGGCTGTCTGGGTGCTCGTCTACGGTACCTGCCTGCAAGAGAATTTAGCATTGCATATTCAATGCAAGTAATATATACTTTAACAAAAAATTTAAAAATATGTGCACACATTTGCCTCATGACTCTTAGCGACGTCTATAAGCCATTGCATTGATTCTATTACGAATGCACAAGATAACGTTAACATGAACAGAGTAGAGTTTTTGGTTTCGCAGCTGCCAGAACAATTAATGTATTTTTTTTTTTATTGTTTTAGACAAAAATATATAGGGGAAAAAGAAAGGTAAGACGACCAATTCAAACTACACTGTGTTGCGATGAATAGTGGTTGCAACAACGCCTATCTGACGTCATGCTTTAGTGCATTAAGATAGGCAGAGTTACTTTTAATGTTAGGGTAAAACAAATAACGCGTTGGGATTTGCATGATTTGGTGTTGTAGACACAGACACTGACCTGCTCGAATCAGTTCATTTCGGCCTACCTTATGCTAGGCTAGCCAAGCATAGCCTGGGCTACAGTATACAGTCATAATCAAGAGGTTTGGTTGAGGTTTTCAGTGTATTTTTAGAGGTTTGTGGTGTACTTTAAGGTATTATTCTACAGAAAATCAGCCTGTTAAACCCAGAAATAGGTTATTATGTACACTAAACATTATCAATTCTTTTTTATTGAGATACCAATGGGTCCTAAAGTACATAATACAGTCATAATCAAGAGGTTTCGATGGGGTTTGCTGTGTGTTCGTAGAGGTTTGCCGTGTACTTTAAAGTATTTTGCACTGAAAATAAACCTGTTAAACCCCGGAATAGGTTATTATAAACATAATACACATGATTAATGTTTTTTTAATTGTGATACCAATGAGTCCTACAGTACATGATACACTCATAATCAAGGGTTTTCCATACAAAAGTCTATAGAATTCTATTTAAAAAAAAACAACTATAGAATGTCTATAGTATATTGTTTAAAAATTCTATAAAAAATATATCAAAACTCTATTAAAAAGCTATTAAAATTATATAAAAATCTATTTAAAATAGATTTTTAAAAACTATAAAATATCTATAAAAATATATTAAAACTCTATTAAAACTCTATAAAAATACTATTACAAAAACTATGAATATTCTATTAAAACTCTATGGAAGTATATGAAAATTTTATGTAAAAAAAATTAAAAACTATAGAAAATCTATAAACAATTTTATAAAAACTACTTATTTAATTTATTTTTTAAAGGTTTTTTCTATAAAATATTTATAGATGTACAACTGTATGGAAAGTGTCTTACATTAGATGGATATGTGCGCTATATAAAACTACACTATTATTATTATTATTATATATGTAGCTAATAAGAGAACAGCAGTTTACTTTTTAAACAAAAGAAAATGATCAGTTTCAAAACAGCTTAGGCCTACATTACAATTTCAATATCCCTTAAGGCCATATGCCTAATAAATACATACACATTATATTTGATTATTTGATTAAACTCACGTGTAACTACAGCATCATCTATAGAATGTTGTTAATAATAATATAGAACAGTAAACATAAAACGTAAACAAAACATTATATTCACCTTAGAATGTCAGGTAATTTTCTGTTCCTTCACATATTTGTCTTCAAACAAACATTATGGTTTTCTAATACAATGATTGAGTTGACCGGATTCAGTTTTCACTAACAGTAGAAACCGAGATTTGAGTATCCTGAAATAAAGTCACCATTTATGTTAGTTAACTTTCTGCAAATAGAGAGAGAGGGCGTAGTGAAACTTAGCTACGGTATAGTTTAACTGCTGCTCTGTAAAATAGTCTTATATCTATCCATATAGATAAATTTTGTATTTTGAGTAAGTATAATACTTTCTTGAAAAGATAAGGCTCCAGTAGAATTGTCTTTAAATCTTCAGTGTTGATCGAGATCAGCCTTTTGTGAAGAAAATTATGTCTAGGCCGACTGACATAAGAAGGCCAACCAACATGGCGAATAAGTACCATACCAACGGGACTAACAAAGGCAAACACCTACATATTCATGATGGTGATAAAACACCCAGTGATGACGTAATCAGCATAGGTACCAACGCTGAAAGCGGTTACAAAAGGCAGGACGTCATACCATCTAAACAAAGAGATCAAAACTTCTCTAACGTGAAGCCAATCTTCTTTAAAGATAGTGACGTACGCGTAATGTAATAAGTGGAGAAAATTTAATTGGAATTAAAAAAGTAAAGAACTTGTGGAGAATTTATATTAATAACCATGCCGATAGGGTGAAAATTATTACCGCTGGTCTTAATCTGAATGAAAGAAACGTTACAGTACATGATACTAATCCTTATCTGCCAGTAAACAACGGCATACGAGTGCTAGTAAAAGATGTTCCAATATCAGTGCACAACGACGAAATTAGGAACGGTTTGCAACACTTATGATGTAAAATTATTAGAACAATACAGTACGTAAAATTTCGCATTCATGGAAAATTATCTCGTTTTATCAACGGTGACAGATCAGTAACTGTTGACTATTAAAATGTAGCTTGCCACGCCTCACCATAATCAACGGTTTTCGCGCGAGAATCTTTCTTAAAGATCAGTTAAGCCCTGACGAAAACAGATGTTTTCATTGTAGTGACGTTGGGCACAAAGTTAACTCATGTCCAAATAAAAGACCGTATGTATGTCACCGATGCGGAAAGGAAGGGCATATCGCGAGGATTTGTAGAGAAGCTGTAAATACTGTTAGAGATGATAGTGAGAAAGATTTTCCACCAACAATGTGTCTCATAACACAACTAGCAGGACGAATGATAAAGTTGATGATGAGGAAGATAAAACAAGATCATTTCTTCAACCAGTCGATCAATGTAACAATGATAATGATTCCAGATGGAGCCTTGGATACAGCGATGAAAGCGAATACGAACCAACTACCAGCAGCAAAGGCGACACAGTTGATGCAAATGGAAAAGAGGACATCATGGTTGATAATGTTCCAAACACCAACATAACCAATGCTACTACAAAAGGCAAAGTGCAAAAAAGTATTACAACCTTCATTAAGTCTACTGCTTCGTCAACTAAAAACACTAAAGAATCTGAAAAAGAAAAAGAAACAAAATCCAGCAAAGAGGACACCATGTGTGAGTCTGGTAATGCAGCAGTGATGACATCACCAAGTCCTGTCGAGAAAAGGAAGCAAATCAACTTGAATACAATAAGCGTATCTAACATTCTACCTTTGATATCCTAGTGTAAAAATATTACTTAACTAAGTTTACAATGGGCAAAATTAGAAATAATGCAAACCTACACTTACTATCTTTAAACGTTAGAGGTCTTTGAGAAAAACAAAAACAAAGACAAATATTTAGTTGGGCAAAAAACAACAATGTAGATATCCTTCTTGTTCAGGAGTCCCTCCTCACCAAAGACCGTACAAATGAATATAATTTCATTTGGGAAGGTGATGCTTACCACAGCTTTGTGGAAATGTTATTGATATTAAATGGACAAGTGGTTTCAAAATTCTTGGAATATTTGTTGGCCATGACAAATCTATATGTAATAAAAAAAAATGGTTTGAAAAAATCGAATCTTTAAAACATATTCTTAATTTATTGCGTAAAAGGAATTTAACTTTATTTGAAAAGGTTATAATTTTACAACAATTAGCATTAGCAAAGCTGGTATACAATTCTAGGATTTTAGAAACCCTCGAATTTGTCTGAAACCAAGTTGACAATATTGTCTATGACTTTTTGTGGGATAAAAAAAACGGAAAAATAAAAAGATTAACTCTCATAAACAAATATGAACATGGTGGTATAAAAGCACCCGACTTCAGGTCTCAAGTGCAATCTTTCAACATAATCATAGACTAGACGTCTTTTCAATGATGAAACGTCTAAGTGGAAACTATTGCCATCTATGTATTTTAACAGAATTGGCCCGCAATATGTTATTGAAAATACGTCACACTTAAATGTAAAAAAATGTGAAGGTACTCCTAGTTTTTATATAGGTGTATTAAAGGCGTTAACTAGTTTTAACGAAATTATAATGAAATACCCAACATGTTACAATGAAATTCTCGAACAAAACATTTGGGGAAATAAAATGATAACTTACAATGGTCTATCACTATTGTATAGAAACTGGGTAAGGTCAGGTATAAGAAAAATCAAAGATATTGTGCTTGGAAATAGATTTATTCAATTGAAGGAATTATTAGAAAAGTTATCTACTAAATCAAATTGGATATCAGAATATCATATTGTGCTAAAGGCCATTCAACATGAATGGAAAGATGTGATTTTTTCACAAAATGAGAATGCAGAGCAAGAGAAACCGTTGCTTGTTACAAAACTGTGAAGCACTAAATGCAAACAAACGTATAATAGTTTTGTCGAAAGAAAATGTATAGAACCGAAATGTCAATTAAAATGGGAATTATATTTGGTAATCCGCTTCGCTAGCGATCATCTCTTGTTATTGTCAGAGATCTTTTTTTATGTATTCTAGCTTCTCCCCATTTATTGTTAGCACGATATCTAAAAATTGGCACGAGATTCATACATGCACGCTTCAACAAACATTTAGCTTGCCCTGGAATAGTCACAATAAGGTTTTCAAAGTGCGCAGTTATGCGTGACGTCATCTACGCGCAATTTTGCGTTTTTACATTATCGATCATATCACCTAAACCAATTGCCATTTCGAAATCGTATTAAATGAGCATTACCTTCAAGTCAATGTTAAATGTAATGTACCATAATTTTACGCGTGCGCATCATAATGCGCGCGTACTTCAAAATTGTAAAATGCTCGAAATCACATTTAGATTAAATCAAAGCACATTTCAGGCCATTTTGAGCATTTCAACATTTTTTGAAATTTAAAACTACGCGTGCGCATTTTTACGCGAGCAGCACTTATGGAAGCTAGAAATTATTTTTTTTTTTTGTCACATTTTGGGTTCCTGACATTGTTTTGACAAGTTTCCAATCATTTTATGGCCAATAACAATGCCGTACACACGCATCAAACATTGTGACCTTTGTGCGCATTTGTGCCGATATACAGGGAAGTTTGCTAAAATCAGGCCTAATTTTAAACAGTTACAGCTTTTTAGGATGAAAGGTGACCCCCAATTTTATTACATATTCTGAAAGGACATAATTTGTAAATATGATTTTATAGCTCATATTGGCTGATCGGACATTATGACGTCATCATATTGCCATCTAAATTCAACAAACTGAATATTATCGATGACGTCATTTTAACAAATGCGCATTTGAGCGTATCTGGCTTATTCTTGATCGATTGTCTTCCAACTTTGAGTATGTTGTAGCTGAGGCAATTCTCTTTCATATATGTGGCATTAATCAGTCGTGATTTCTGAATCATATTTAGTGGGTATAAACTTCAGGTCATGGTTAAATGTTATGTACTGTACACGTTGGTGGCGGTAGATATAGCGAGAGTTTTCCATTGCTCTCTGTGAAATGTGCTAAATTATTCTAAAAACTACTGTTTAAACTCAAAATTTATACTACACAACGTGTTTTCTGTTTAAAATTGCTTTTTAGGCCAAATGTTTAGGGCGAGTTACTGTTAATAGTCCTCATCAATAGGTCCACATCAAGCCAACGATCTTAGACGTATTTAAGCCCTGTGAGGTCAACGTAGACGGTAAATTTGGATTGTTTGTTGGCGGCGTATGGTCCTTGCCGGCTGTATATCAAGGTTAGGCTGAATTGCACAGCTAGACAGCGCAGATGGCTAAGCCATCGAGCATTGCAGAACTGCAAAGCTTATCTAAGTCTAAGTTGAATGCGATGTCAAAGACGGATATAGTTGAAGTTTTAGTGATCAGTAAAGCAGTTGATACGACGAATGTTGGTAATGATTTGTTAACTGAAATTCTGTTTGAGATTAGAGGCCCGAGAATGTCGCAAAATTCTATGTTAGATAGGTTAGCTGAAATTGGTGAACTAAAGGAAGAAGTTCCAACTCTCAAGCAAGTTGTTAAGCAACAGCAGACCTTTCTCGAGCAGATTGATTTTCGGTGTAGACGTGAAAATGTGATCGTTACTGGTGTTAGAGAAGATACATATACTGATGATACAGAAGCGATAACAGAAGTATTTAAAGAAATTGGTGTGCAACGTGATTGTGTATGTGATGTGAAACGAATCGGTAAGAAATATACGCGATGGAATCGTCCTATCTTAGTAAAACTTAAAAAAATTGAAAGAAGTGAAGTGCTTAGCAAAGCAAAGCAGTTAAAAGATAAAGGTGATACATTCTATAAGGTATACATAAAACCAGATATCCACCCCATATTTCGTAAAGAAGAGGCTCGTATAAGGAAGGTTGTAAGGGAGGAAAAAAATAAACTTGTAAACCAAGGCTGTAATATCATATATGACAGAAGATCTAAAGAGATATTGCGAGATGGAGTACTTATTGACCGTTATCAGCCATTTTTAAACTCCACTTGTGACCACAATGACTTTTAATATTGCGTCATGGAACATTAACGGGTTACGCGATAAACTAGACTCTTGTAGATCGCAAAACATTTTGAGTAACTTTGATATTGTTTTCATTTTTGAGCTAAAAACACCTTGCTGATTCGATGTACCTGGATTTCAAGTTATGCGTGATAAACCTAAAGCAAATTCGCATCGAGGGGGA